TAATTGACAGTTTTGATCACAATTGTTGTGCTGACAGATTCAGCACTGTTACAGTCACTCGACTGGGTTTGTTTATTTATGGTGACGAATCGTCATTGCTGCTTGACCGTGGAATCGGATTTTTTGACTAAAACAATTGAAACATTCATTTGTGGTTGATGCAGAAGGATTTCTGATTGCTTTTGTAGCATTTGAGAGCTGTTAACCGTTCTCCGAGCGTACATTGAACATTTCTTCCCGTCGATCAGTTAGAGCGCATTTTTGGGCACAATCTGAGCCTCGCTCTCTAGAAATCGTTGAGCTAGATGAGACAGTCGACTAGGATCGCTGAATCGTTTGTTGTATGGGAGGAAGTATAGCGGTGTCGAATGAATGCGATAGGAGAGAATGAGACATAAACTCGTCGTAATGAATTGTAACTGCTGATTGAATAAGTAGCGATACTGAATATTAGTGATCAAATCATTAAACTGCTATTGTCACCGTAATTATTCCTTTTCGGTTTCACGAAACAATCTCCGTTTCATCTTACATATTTGCGTTTGCGCGTCTCTTTTTCCAGAAACGCCTTCGCGTTATCACTAATATCACACTGAACTTTCCATCTATATCTTCTTCAGATCTCCTCTTCTGAGAAAATGTTCTTTAGAATGTACCCTCCTCACCAATCTATACCATCCATCACTGTTCTAAACACAATCACCATCAACGAACACACATAATCAATTAACTTTCTGTATCAATTCTCTGTCGTTCCTTAAGGCTATAACTAGTTTTTTTTTTGTGTTGCCGTTTCGGGACTATAAAAGTTCTTCTTCAGTACCGTTGACAGCTACACACTGGTAATTGTGCAAAAACAAGAAGAAGGAAGCAGTCGTAGGCAATGCGTCGAATGGCTTTCGTTCAATGTAATTCAATTAGTTTCTTTGTTATTTGCTTGTGTGTGTGTGTGTGTGTGTGTGTCCGTAACTATAATATTTAATTTGTGTTCTATGTATCTTTGCTTATTCATCATCGCATCTCAACTCCAGTTACTAATTAATAATGTAAACATCGTTTTAAACATATTTCTTTGCGCAATATCTTTTGCCGTTTTCATTTCATTTACATGCAAAAAATTTTATTTTATTATTATTATTTTTTTCAGTTGTAAAAGTGTTCATATGACATGCATAATTACCTTCAATCATTTGTATTTCTATTGTCGACTGTATTGAAAGTTTGAGTGTGTGCACATAACCAACCCAGCAGCAACCTGTTTTGGTCTAGAAGTCAGATAGACTTTTGAAGATTGTTTGTTGTCACACACGTTGATTGTATTGATTTGCTGCATTAAACTACTACTGATCAGTGCCAAGTGATCATCAGCATTTTTCGTTTGTTGCGATAAGACTTCAATTTTTCATAAGGAGTTTGCGCTCTATGCTCACGTTCTCGTCTTTCATTACAAATGCTTTTTGTGTGGAATGTGTAACTCATCTATCTCATTCATTAGCAACACTGATCGATAGAACAACTCCATCGCTTTCTGTCAGAGCTTGCTCACTGAACTGAATGACATCATTAGCATCTATCCATCCTTGCTTTAGCATCGCTTTTTTTGCTTGATCACTAGGCGTTTGCTTCGTATTTAGGACACATTAGACAGTTAGGCGTTTTAAGCTAAGATCGTATACCACCACTGGTTGTGGCCATCTAAAATTCAACTAACAATAGTACTAGTCGCCACTTCAAAGCCACTAGTCTTAAACGCTTGAAGAGGTCAAATCATCAACTGAATCGTTCACTATGTTAGATGACACGAATGCTCAGTGTCCAGTCGTGAATTGTTAGCGAGTTAGGTGGCACATTTCTTCGAGTTTCTTCAATTGGATTCATTTTCAGGTTACGCATTATTCATATCTGCTGCAAGTGTGTAGAATAGAACGTGATCAAGTGTCACTGTGATATTGTTTATTCGAAATAAGAAGCGAAATTGAGTTTAGTAGAAACTGTTCTCAGTATCAACGTATCATAGATAAAGGCATGCTATTCTTTTTCTCGTGCGTTTCTTTTCTGTTAGAAAGGTGATAATTTCTGGATTGCAGATTGCTAATAATTCAAGTTCATTTCTGACTTATTGTTAATGAGCGTAGTCACGAGCGTTGCTCTTCGAAATTTCAATTCGTTTTCATATTTGCATTTTGAGTTTTCGTTTGGCTCGATTCGATGACATTTTGTGTCTGAAACAATCGAGAATCACTTTTTTCAATGGTAAAGCATTAAAGATGGCACTTTCTTATTGACAAGATTCGATTTCAGATTTCATTAGATAAATGCGATTCGACTTGATAAAAAACTAAACAAATATGTCAGCCCAGAAAAGGCCTCCAGATGATGACTCGAAACTTCCCACTTATAAGTTGGTTGTTATTGGTGAAGGAGGTGTCGGAAAGTCATCGTTAACCATTCAGTTCTTTCAGGTTTCTTTTTCAGTTATTCGCCAAGTCAGTTGTCATTCCATTCGCTGTATTCGCTGAAGTAAGATCGATCAGTTTTTTTTTCAAAAAATATTCACTCCAGTGACTAAACTGAAGTGAGCTGAAGTGCTCAATCGATCAAGCACAGTGAATTTTCGGGCTCATTTTGAGTTCCTCTTCCTAGAAGTCGTTGGGCAATATGGGAGAGCCAAAAAGAACCAAAAATTAATAGAACTAAAACGATACTGTATTGATGATTTTTTTGTAAATTTCAGAAGCAATTCGTTGATTATTATGATCCAACTATTGAAGATCAATATATTATACACTGTGAAGTGGACGGCCAATGGGTTATTATGGATGGTAAGTTCATTTTGTATTGATTAAGTATTCATTTGAAATTTTTACTGTCCTTATTGAGTAGCTTACAGTGGTTATTGAAAATACACACGTGTTAGTTTTGCTCATTCCTCTTCTTATGTCATTCTTACTTTATCGCATTTCATGTATCTCATGATTTCTACTGTTCATTTCGATTCATTCGGATAGCTTCATGCTTTGAGTCTTTTGCACTTTTGCATTTGCACATCTCAAAGGAATTGACGCGTGTTTGGTGAAGTAATAAACTTTCATGCAAGTAACTGAAATAAATAGTTTCCAAATGTTGGCGGATAAATTTCAAAATTACTGAAAACGTAAAAATTTGAGTGTTGGATACGGCTGGACAAGAGGAATTCAGCGCGATGCGTGAGCAATACATGAGAAGTGGACGCGGTTTCCTGTTGGTTTATTCAGTGACTGATATGCGTAGTTTTGAAGAGACACCAAAATTATACGAACAAGTTTTACGAGTGAAGGATAAATCCGAATATCCTGTTTTATTAGTTGCGAATAAGGTTTGTATTCGATATTTTAGCTAGTTTGTTTCGTTGATTACAATGAAGTATTATCGGAAAGGCAGCAACACTTGTTCTCAGCAGTCATTCGGACTTCTTCTAGGAAATAATGATTAACTGTTCGGTATTGGTTTGCTGGAAGTTTTCGTTCCAAGCAGAAATCACCGAGTATTTTCGATGTCATTATGAATGGAAACTTGCATTCAATACATCTGAAAGAACTGTAATGATCCAAAGAAAGCTATTTCTTGGGTTGAATCGTTTGAGTTGGAAAATAGATGTTTATAATGCTGGAATTGGTAAATGAATAAACGTAAAATTTCAGATTGATTTAGTGAATCAACGTAAAGTAAGTGAAGAACAAGGTCGAGAGCTAGCAGATCGCCTGAAAGTGCCCTATATCGAAACGTCAGCCAAAGACCCACCGGTGAATGTCGACGCCGCATTCCACGAACTTGTTCGCATCGTTAAAAGCTTCCCGAGCGATGAAGATGTTGAAACCGTTAGTCGTTCCGTATCAAATGATCTTAAATATTTCAGTTTGCTTTTGTTATCTTCAACAGTCGAATATCTACAACAAATCGTTTGTAAAATATGCCACTGAAATATTCATTCGAAATACGGATTTATCCATCGATCTTTCCTCGGTGAATGTTCGGACTATTGAGCCGACTATTGTCTTTGAGTATCACTTTAAACTTGTGAATGATTTACAATTTTCAGGATACCAGTTCCTCACTGCGAAACAGTAGTCGAAAGGGTCGAAAATCAAAAAAACAGTGTCGAATGATGTAGCGAATAATTTTTTGTTCGATGGTACGTTGTGTAATTGAAAATATTTTCAAATGGATTGGTTCTTTGTCATGATTTACTCATTTTATGGTTGTACTTTCATTTTGATATTATTCAGTCATGCAGCTTTTGAATGGTATTATAGTGGTTTAATGTTTAATTTCATTGATGCCATATTCAATACGGAACTCATCGACTTATTCTCAGGTTTCCTGTTTTTTTTCGATCGTTTTGAAATTGCGAAATTTGAATGTTGCAAAATACTCTTCTGACAATCATATAAGAAGTGATCAATTAAACTCTCAAACAAATTGCATTCGTTCGTTGTCTGTCGTCGCATTGGGAACAACAGAGAAGGATGATTCCATAGTGGATGTGGTATTATCATAAGTAATTATCGAGATTTATAATGGATTTATAAGATAGTGTTGTGGTGTGGTTTTGAATACGATGCCATTTTATCGAGATCTTATTCTCAATTTTTGTTTTTATTTTTGTTTGTTTTTGTTGCTTAATTCTGATAGTTTTTTCCGAAAAAAAAACTTGTGCCTTCGTTGATCCATTTTTTGCTTTTGCGCTTCATTTGCAGAATGTCTTTTAGTGTTTTCGTTTGAAACGATGATTCCCGTTGTCGAATTCTCTTGAAATCTTTCTCGCTCAAGTATTCTTTTAGACGATGGAGTATACGCGTATATCCATTACGATTACGGTGGATTCTTTTCTAAGAATGTTTTCGAATCAAATCGCCTTTCGTAGTCATTTTTGTCATTCATCAGCTTTTACCACGTTTGATGCCAAATGTTTCAGTCTGATGCACTACCGTAATACGTCCACTCCATGCATTTGTACTATGAAGATTGATTGCATTTTGAAGGTGGAAATTTCGATGGCAAATTCTCGCATTAAATCTCTGGCGATGTTAAAACGTCTTTGATCTATGAACTTGGACGTTTTTTTTTTGAATGAAATTGATTGCGAGAAGGACAGTTCTG